TGGTTAGCACTTTACGGGTTTGGGCACAGCGTTTACTTTGTCCTGAGTTGTGGCTCACTGAAGCTTTAATTCACTCTCTCTTATCGATACAGTTAGAAAACAATATATCTAAATATAACCTTCCAGCCAAAAACAAGAACAATATTCCTCTATATCAATGCCCTCCCAGCTCGTAAATTTAAGAAACAAGTCAGCGTAGCCCATTGGAGCCACCTTTCCTTGAGTCACAACACCTTACGGTAGATTTCATAGTCACTTCCCTCTTTTGAGCATCATTACGGATGGATCCAATTTTATAGCGAGAAAATATTGTAATTGATAATTATTTTCATTTGTACTGTTTTCTTATCGTGGTGTGATGCTCAAAGTGTGTGGCACTGAGATGCAAAGACCAGTTAACTTAATGAAGACCCTTGGGGACAGAATTCTCTGTGCAAGTGAACCAGAGAATTAAACCATCTGAAAAGGTCAAAGAAATCAGAGAGGAGAAAAATCCAAGCACACTGAGTTTAATGCTTAAAGTGTATTTTGGAGAGAGAATTGAGAAAAGGTGGGAGGTACAAAGAGTCCCCTCTTTTCCAGGTCTTCTAATGGAGTCTTGTGCTGCTTTTTGTCTCCATCCGCAAGCTCCGTGATGACAGCTTAGGCTGCGTGAGGGGTCTTTTTGACTCTCCAGGTCCCAGAGGGGCGCTCGTTGCTAGAGCAGACAGGAGAGCGTCTGCAGGTGCAGGTGGCTGTTCCCTGAAGGCCTGCAGAAGGACGAGGAGGGCGAGGCACAGGCGAAGGAGGGAGGGAGGAGAGGCGGAGCCAGTCTCCAAGGGAGAGACTAAGAGGAGGTGTGTCTACTTCAAACAGATAATGTCAGTCACGTCAGGGGGGAGAGAATTCACCTTTCTGTGGTAACTCACGAGAACTCTTACTGGCTATGTGTTGGTCATGCAGGATCATAATTTTTCTCTGATCCTTGACTATCATGTCCATGCTTATTCCCTGTTCCCACCAACAATCTGCTTCTCAAACTCAGGCTACCTACTCCTCACCCAACCTGATCCACACACCTGATTCGAGCCTGGTCTCTACATACTGAGGCCCTTGGAACAGCGTTTTCAAGTTTTGCTGATGAAGCTGCTGTGTTGCACAAGCCCGTGTCATGGACTCTAAGCGTTTGTTGCTCAAAGAGCCCTTGAAGAGCCTCTCAGTCCAATGTCCTCCATTCTGAGTGACTTTGTGGCTAGTCTGTGGCACAATGGACTGCAGACCCCCACAACACACCTTCTGGTGTCTCGCTTGATGCTTCTCGAGCAGAGGCTTCACCCCCTTAAAGGAGATGGTCATGTCCTGTACCTCGGTCCCAGGCTTGTTCTGGGCAGGAACTTGGTCAGCTCTCTCTCCCAGAGGCGCAGCCTGCGTCTAGAGGGCCCAGAAAGGAAGGTCAGGGGAGGGGGCGGAGAGTCCTCCTGGCTGTAAGTCACCTGGAGCTCAGGCTCTGGATGGGAGAGCAGGAGCCTGAGTGAGTGGAGAGCGCAGAGTCACGGGTATTTCTGGGTCTGAGATGAGGAGGCTCAGAGACACTCAGCGCAGTGAGAGAAGGAGGGCATTTGCCTGGGGATGGGGCCCAGGCTGCTGTGCCCTCCAGTCTCTCTGATGCTCTTCCGTTCGAACAGCTTTCATTAAGCACAAGGCTGTGTGTTTAGTGTCTGCACTTGTTTCAAGTTGATAACGATGATAAGGAGCCTGGTCTCTTCTCTGTTTCCCATCTGCTTGAATATGGACTTTTTATTGTTCCCAAAAGGCAAGAAATAGTGCTTTCATTTGAAAAGTTCATGGAACAAAGGCCTCTTCTTTTCTGAAGGTGGTTCCTGCTTATCTCTGGAGGTCTAGACCCTTGGACGGAACTGGACCCCAGGGGAGTGGAGGGTTAAAAGATTTCACGATTCAGGGGCACGACAGACGTGGGAAGGAGGGTTTTGAGGTTCTGGGGTGAGTAGGCTCCTGAGTGTGGAGAGGACAATGGCTTAGCAGGCTCGGGGGAGAAGAGCTCAGTGGGATTCTTGGTGAAGACTGTTCAGACTAAAGCCAAAGGGGAGATTTATTTCAAGAAGTCAGTATGATCTAAACCCCTCACGTTAAATGTACAGCAGCTACATCTCTCCATCTTGAGAAATATCAAAATAACCAATATTCCTGCAGCACCCCAAAATCTTTGAATTTTCGTAACTAAAAAAAATTTTAATTCAGGAACAGGGAGCAAAATTGAAAAGGACGAGTGGTGAGTGACAAACGGCAGTCTCTCCTCTCCCAGCCCCGTCCCTCAGCCTTGTCCAGGAAAGCCCGCCGTTAACACATTATTCTGTAGTTTGCTTGAGCCACCTCGTTATTTAGCTTGAACAATTTTATATCTGCACATACAGAACTCTGTCATTACTTTTAATAACTCTGCACTAATCCACTGCTGTCATACTCCATGGTTACTTTTTTTATTGATCAAACAGAAAATTGCTACAGTTGGGTTATTTCTAAACTCTTGCAGTTAGAACAAAAGTGTAGTGAATATCTTTATATATGTATGATGTGGCTCATAAGTGACTCCAACTTTTAGACAAATTTCCTGTGGTAGAATTTCTGGGTTAAAGAACAGATCTCAAACCTTTACACCTGTTACTCCATTGTCCTCCAGGGAGGTTGTGCCAACAGCACTCACAGAAATACGGCAACCCTGATGCTCCCTGCCCGCAGTGGAGAGTGTTATAGAGGCCCTGGGATTAGCCCATTTCCATCATCCTTTCTTCCCGCCTAGAATCTGGGCAGCCATGTGAATACGTAATGTCCTAGACTCTTCGTGCCACTCAGAGTTGCCCCTAAAGAGAGTTCTGATCAAAGAAATGTCATGGCTTGGAAGGGCATCCTTTGTACATAAGAAAATAAATCTTTCTTCTTGCCTCCCATCCATTGTTGAGCTATTCTTTTCTATTCTCCTCCATCTCTCTGCTTGGGTGACAGGAGCACTTGGACCTGCAGCAGCTGTATTTTGCCCACAAAGAAGACAGTTCGTCGGTTGCACGTGGGAGCAGGTGCACATGATGCTGGGTCCTTGAGAACATAGTTGAGCCACCTCACCCTCCTGGACCGACCACTTTCAGATTGTTGTAACGTGGGAAAAGCCTGCATTTGTTTTTCTAAAGCCATTGTTTGTTGGGTTTCCTGGTGTCTGCGGCTGAAAGCAGGCTGATGTATGGCCTGTGAGGCTTTCTGGTCTTTCCCAATCTCAGAGGGAAGAATTTGGGTCCCAGTGCCTTCTTGATCTGCATTTCTCTCAGGAATCAGGGTCAACGTGTTCTCATGTCTGAGACGTATTTGTGTTTATTTCCTCTGAAACGTCCTTTCTTTTTTGCTTGTTTTCGGAAATGTAATTGTTGGCGTATTTATTTGGGGTGACTTGTAGGAGTTCTGTGTCAATTCAGTAAAGGAGCTTTTTGTCACAAGTATTGGAAATGGTTTCCAGATGTCGTCATTATGGCTTTTGCCTTCTTTTCTCCATGCAGAAACTTTGGATTTTTAGGTCGTTCAAAAAATTCTTTCACATTTTTGAGTTTTGTGTCTTTCACACTCAGGTTCGTAAAACTCAATCTTCCATTTGTTACTGCTTTTCTGGCACAAAAAGAACTCCTGGTGTCGTGTGCTCTGAGGCAGAGTGTCTGGCAGACCGGCCGCCCTCTCTCGGGTGAGCTGTCCATTCCCAGGGGTTATTGGGATCCTTATCATTTTGACGTAGGGATGGTACCCACAGACGTCCAGGATGTAGGTAGACCTAAGGCCATGGGTGGAGGTGCTAGATCAGAGGAACATCAAAGTGACTTTAGGCAACAGGAGAGCTCTGTGTCTTCCTCCTTCTCTTCGGGCTCTCTGTGCTGCATCTTTCCTCCCTCCAGGAGGAGGCTCAATGAGCTTTCAGATCTTCACGTCAAACAGCTGACTCTCCGTCAGGAAAAGGCGCTGGGTGTGTCTCCGTGTTGATTCACACCTGAGCGATGGGTTGTTATCAGGATGAGACTTGCTTTTGTAATAAAAATAGTTTCTTTTGTCATATCATGGTGCTCTTAAATCCCTGCCTTTTATAGAAATTTTGAATTTAGGCACTTGCCTTTCTGACACATCAGGCCTTCTTTAAGTTTTTTCAGGACAGTAAGTGTAGGAGCCCTTGTCTCATCATTATGATGTATTGACTTGGTTCATTAGCATTACTGCAAATGCACTATTTCTTGCTGGAATTTCACTAAAATTAGTAGGGGTTTATGGTAATTAGTAGACTCAATGACTTTGAAGAGAGAGAGAGAGCTGAGACCACCTCCTTCATTGGACATTGGCCTAATTTACTTTTTGATGTTCGAAGGCAGACCAGTTATTTCACTGGTCCCTGGGCATGACCACCTCTACTGACCAGCTTCTGGACCCCCCTTCTCTCTGGGCATTACTTGGGGATACTGCCGCTGATCAACATTTTGTGTTTGCGGCACACTTCTTCCTCTTTTCTTGGTTGTGGCTCACTGAAGCTGTAGTTCACTCTGGCTTGTTGATAGAGTTAGAAAAACATATATATCTGTACTTAACATATACTCTTAAAATAAGAAAATATCCTGTATGTCAATGCCCTCCCATCTGTTAAGTGTAAGGAACAAGTAAAGAAGCCCATTGGATCCACTTTTCCTTTGAGTCAGCACCACCTTCTCCTACACTTTATAGTCGGATTTCTCATCGGAGGGTCGTTATGAATGGATGGAATTTTGTAGATTAACACTGTTGTAATTACCAATCGTTTTTATTGTTTCTGCTTTTCTTGTTGCCGTATAATTCTCAAATTTTGCAGCACTGGGAGGCAAAGTCCAGTTAACTTAACGATACCATTCTGGACTGAATTCTCTATACAAGTCAACCGCAGCTATAAACAAGCTCTATGAAAAGCCAAAAAAGGAAAAAGAGAAGAAATTGACAAACACACTGCATTCAACGCTGGAAGTTTATTTTGGAGAAGATTTAAGAAAAATTGAAGGTAGAAAGAGTAAACCCTTTTGCAGGTCTTAAAATAGAATCCTTTGCTGCTTTGGGTCTCAATCCACAAAGCTCAGCGAGGACCACGACGACCATCAGGACGACAGCAAAGCCTTTTGAGTTTGCCTCTGGTACAGATCCCCTCTTGCTTATAAGGTCTTTGGCAAAAGGAGCTGCAGTGGCAGATAAGACCTGGCCTAGAGCCTGTGGAAGGAAGAGGACTGTCAGGTACAAGGGGAAGGAGGGAGGGCAAAGAGGCAGAACCAGCCTCAAGGGGATATGCAGAGAGGCCAGGTGTCTTCTTACAGTAGACCAAACCAGTCATGTTAGGGTGGAGAGAATTCATCTTCTTGTCATAGCTCACAAGAAATCTTCCTGACTAGGTGTTGGTCATGCAGGTTCCTAATTTTTTCTCTGATCCCACTCTATCATGTAGATTCTTTCTCAACAGTCCACCTCTCAAACTTAGGGTTACTTACTCCTCACCCCACCTCATCCACTCACCCAATTTGAGCCCAGCCTCCATGTACTGACAAGTCCCTCTAATTGGCCTGCAGATCCTAACAGCAAACTGGTTGGTCTCTCACCTGCAGCATCTCGAGTGGAGCGTTCGGCCCCCTCAAAGGAGATGGTCATCCCCTGGACGTCGGCTCCAGGCTGGTCCTGAGCAGGAACCTGGTCATCTTTCTCTCCCAGGGGCTCAGCCTGGGCATGGAAGGCCAAGAGAAGAAGGGCAGCGAGGAGGGCGAGGGTCCTCATGGCCGTGAGTCACCTGGAGAACAGGGTCCAGATGGCAGTGCAGGAGCCTGAGTGAATGGGGAGCCCAGAGTCAGTCTGTATTTATAGGAGACAGATTGGAGGAAAGAAGGTATTGTGTTGAATGTGTGACTAGGTGAAGGTGGGGCGGCCAAAGATCCTCTTGTCGGCCCAGAGGAACTTTGATGTCCTTTTGATCTAGTTGCTCCCCCCGCCCCCACCCCATGATGCCTCTATTTTCTGGTGTCCATGTTTGTTTTTCAGCTGTCGTGACTAACGCCTCATAGGAACATGATAACCTTCCCTATTTCTCATCTGCTTGAATATTTACCAGTAAAATGTGTGCACATGCCTCATAGGGCATCTCAGACGTCAAGAGATATGGTTGAAAACTTCCAAAAGCGTGGCTAACAAAGGGCAATAATCAGACGTGTACGAGATTTCTCACTCACACTGGATACTAGATTGCATTTTCACAAATTCTGAGAGAACATCACTTAATATAGAATTCTGTGCTGAGGCAATATATAATACCATCTATAGGGACAAATGCTCTGGTTTTGGATGTTCCAGACTCAGGAAATTGCTAGGCATGAAGCCCTTTGGGAAAATATTGCTCCAGGATGCACTCAAATCAATTAAATAGAAGGCCCAAGTGAGCTGACATGAGAGCAAAGAAGCAGAGTTGAATGAACAAAGACTCAGTAGAACTTATTACTAGTCTACCTTTATTAATTTCCCATGAATGCTTGATAAGGCTATCTATCTTAAGGCTCTTGTTAAGGAAAGGTTAGCAAACAAAGGGGGAAAATTTTAAAAAAAACTCATGAATTGCTATTGGGAATCAGAATTCCCAAGAAAATCAGCCAGACTTGGGAATTGATCAAGAAAGAAGAGGAGATGGAGATCCGGGATCGTGACTAACTCTCACTATTCACAGGGAAATACTCATTTAAGTATAGGTTGAAAAGATGTGACGTTTCCCACTAGAGGGATATACCAACAGAATAATCAACATACGGACACAATGGAAGGAAGGATGGAAAGAAGACAACTCCTTCTTCCTAAATGTGAGAGACAAAGTCAGGAATCAGAATTAATAGAAAATGTCTGGAAGGTCATTAGCCTGGCCTGCATCCTGGGTCTGTGCTTTCCCTGCTCGCTGAGGGAGGGGCCTTGAGGGCAGGGACCCCATCTGTCTCAGGCCTTTATGTCCTGTGTGTGTGCATCTGGGAAAGCAGGTTTCTGCCTCTCAGTTTCTTTGTCTTCATTGCGTTGTGGTGAGGATAAAATGATAACGCCGTCCAAAATGCTTAGAGCAATGCCTGGTTCGTGGTCCAAACTCCAGAAATGCTCTTATTGTCATTTTAGGATTTGATCACCATCACACGATCATATCAAATGATACATCCTAGCAGTTAAGATAGAACTTGGGATGAAGCAAGTGCTAAAAACACACCTGCGACACCCAGGTTAGTTAGCAAATGAACTGGATGACCTTGGACTGAACTACCCGCTTCAATGAGTTCAGCTTTCACTGTGCAGTCCTCCTCTGCCTGGGGCCCTGCAGCAGCAGGTTTAATACCTTCTCTATTCCCCCTGCCTTCCTGTCCTTCATGGAACATCTCTGAGCTTGGCATATGGGGTCCCACTATTCCCTCCCAGTCTGCATCCCTGTGACGTGTTCTCTCTCCATCTGTAGAGATGATGGCGGGGCCGTTTGGGAAAGCTTGGTTCCAGTTTCAAGCTTACTGCGAGGATTCTGCCCTGTGCTTCATCACCCAGTGTCCTTATTTATTGAAGAACGCTTTCTTCAAAGATTGGCTCTGAGCTCACATCTGTTGCCAATCTTGTTTTTTCCTCTTCTCCCCAAAGCCCCCCAGTACATAGCTGTATCTTCTAGTAGTATGTCCTTCTTGTTGAGCTATGTCGGACGCCGCCTCAGCATGGCTTGATGAGCAGTGCTAGTTAGGTATCCAGGATCCGAACCAGCCAAGCCCTGAGCCACAGAAGCTGAACGTGAACCCAACCACTCAGCCTCAGGGCTGGCCCCTATCGAATAAAACTTTCTTTTCAGCCTCGTTTCATCCTTCTGCAGCCCAGAAATATCCTGCTTTCTTGGGAAATCTAGAAAGAGATGGGAGGTTTCAAAAATCACTGTCCAGTCCGCAGTCTAACAGGTCGATCTCAGCATTGACTGTGAACCAGAACATGGCTTGGAGCCCATTTGTCTGCTTTGGACAAGGACTCACGGGACCCGCTCATGGCTCAGCCTAGACTACACGATGACCTTGCCGCCCAGCATCCTCTTCCTAGATTTCTTTCTGGGAAAAGTATTTCTAGAAAATTCTACCGACAGTCTGGGAAATGATTGTAGACTTTTACTGTGTTTCTGTGGAATAATTTAGCACAAAATAGCTTTCTTTTTGCCTTTCTTGTTTTGTTTACTGTATCAACTCACCATTGACTATTGTCCTTTGACTTCAAACTTGCTGCCATTTACAATAACGCCTAAAGGAACATTTTTCTTGTCTTAACTCTGAGTCTGATCCAGCCTCTGCCAACTTGAGGGCCAGGACAAACACCGTGCTCACATCTGCAACGTGGAAATCCGTGGAAAGAGGGAGTGAACTCCCCTGAGCCATGAGTTTAGACCTTAACATGGAGTGAACCTGCCCATGCTGAAAAGTATGGTGCAAGCGAATGAGCCTGAAGGGAAATAAATTCCTGATATCTTAAGGCATCAATAGATCTGGTTTTGGAGAAAGGTTTTGTGTCCCAGGCTATTCCAGAGAGCAGATGATGCTGCGAGGTCCCGCTTACTGCTGGTGACCGTAGGCACATGGGGAGCAGGAAAGGCAATATGGGCCTTTGTCAAGACGCATAGGTGGTGTTGAAGGGGAGCCGCGGGATCAGAGAGCCATCAAAGGTCTGGTCATCAAACGCCTAGGCCAGCAGCACACAGAGATGGCATTTTAGGACAAAGCCTTCTCCGTGGCTCATCACCCCCTGCTCCTGCTGCCCTCAGAATTGTATCCCCACAGGGCTGGAGGCCTCTCACTCCCCAGGGAAGACCAGGCTCCCTTCTCCCTCCTGGGTGCTCTCCCCATCAGGAGGCTCCCAGGCATGAGGACCCCCTGCCTGTTGGCTCTCTGTGTCTGCTTCATCTTCCATCCATTTCTCCCTCCACTCGTCTGAGACACCTCCGCATCTAGCCACACGACATGTAGGAAACAGATCATAGGAACTGATACATTGCAGGTACAGTTTCTTTATAGAAAGTCCTACGGATGGATGGCTGACTTCAAACTTGTTTTCTCCAGATGAAAAGTCTATGAACATACTGCCAGAGTCAGTAGAGCTGAGCAAAGTGATTTTGAAAAATTGAATGCATTCTAAATATTTTCAGATCATTCTTTTTATTTTTCCTTTTCCTACTTTATTGCTTAATTTTTTTCCTGTTACCATAACGATTCATGCTCAATATAGAAACAAATCCAAAACTAGAGACTAAAGCAGAACTCTCAGAACGACCTGCAACTCAGCCCTTCTGATAACTGTTGTTTCCTGGGTAGTCTTTGGACCCTGTTCTGTATATTTACTTTATTTCAATAAAAGTGACATCACGCTATGTATACTGTTTGGTGACCAGTTATGAGTTATCTGCTGTGTTTTCTCTTATTGTCTGTTTGGTTTGTGTCCTTTTAAAAAATTGGCTGTTATTGCACTTAGCACAGGAATGACTGACTGCTAATGAACGAGACATCAGAGAGCGAAAAGGATGAAAACAGTGAAACGCCTAAACGTTCTGACAACTGACATAAATGGTCAGATACTCAGATAAGACGGGGACACTAGTGAGCGCGGCAGCAGCATTCCCAAGGCTGGAATCCTCAGGGTCTGGGGACGTTTGTTTCTGAACAAATTATCATGCGAGCTGATGTGCTTTGTCCACACCGCGTCTGTCTCTCTCTGTATTTACGCAGGTTCTCTGGCTCCAGAAAGTGCAGTCAAGGTGGTGGGAAGGCTCCTTCTCCAGGCAGGCCTCTCCAGCTTCAGAGATTGAAATCGTCCTTGTCTGTGACAGATGAGACCACGAGAACCTCTCCAATGTGCTCCTCCTCATTCCTCTCTCCCATCTGGCCTCCAGTATAACAGCCCACATCGTTTTGCTTTGTTTTTTTTATCATATTTCCATGTTCCCGGGAAATCTGGCCTTTTCTAAGAAGCACTCCCTGAGCTCATTCTCAGCTGTCGGCCCTGGAGGGAGCTAGAATGTCCCGTATGGTGTCATGCAAGGAAGAAGCCTCCCCCCTTCTCCCCAGGCAGACAGGCCTCAGAGGAAGGGCCGATGAGAGGAGTGAAAGGTTAACCCCCCACACTTTCAAGGTGCACTGCAGAGGCCCCCAGCCCAGAGAAGGCAGGGAGGATGCCCAGAGGCATGTGGAGGTGGCTCAGGAATGCACATCACACGCTGTGCTTCTCCGCTCACTCTGGGCATGCGCACATGTACAGCATCTTACAGATTGAACAACAGTGACAGCCTTGCAGGGGAAGATGAATCATTACAAGATCTGAGGTGTGTCCGGGAGGGGTTTCAGACTACTCTAGTTGGGGTGGTGATAATGCTTATGGGGCCCTTACTTACACACCTGCTTCATTTTTTCTCTAGGGCTGACACTCAGCTTCACAATTTTGAGAAAGAAGGTGACAATGCTCACGTATGGCACTAGCATCTGCAGTAAGATTGTCCAAGGGGATTTCTTGCCTGCTCATTACCTCAGGAGGGCTTGGATTGTTCTGGTAACCGTGCGGGGTCCAGCTGAAGGTAGGAGGATGAAGACCACCACTGGCATCCGAATTTGATGTCTCACTAGGTACCACTAGGCTTAGCAAAGGCGAGACTTACAGGTCTACACAGTAGTGCGGTCTTCCCAGTTCCTCACAGCCACGGAGACCTCAGGAAAACCCGGTGGCAAGAAACCCAGGAAGTCAGTGTCGGG